CCATGGGCCTCATTGTTGTGTCACTGCCACTGCTCAGATCAAGCCGGAATAACCCTTAATGAAAATGGCAACACAACTGTTACCAAAATCGATTAAATAAACGTGTGCAATAGACTTGGACAAACACACACACACACACACACATGCACGCTCACACACACACATGACCACAGAGTCAAAAACCGCATCCGTTGACGCCATATTGTTGTAGCTGGAAAGGGGCTAATGCGGGTGGCAGCGGGCCAGTTTTAGTCTAATATAATTTATGCCCAACCTGTACAGGCATCGGAAGCTGCTCGAAACAGAGCAGAGAATTGGGAATTGGCAACCAGCAGACAAACAAACACAGAAATAAACAGCAAGTGCCATGAATATATGTATATGGCAGATGATTCAAAAGATTTACAAGCTGCCAGATTGTTTATTTTCATGAAATATGGCAAGGCTAATTTGTTTCTCAGTTTCATTTTCTTATTCGCTTAATTTGATGTTTTTTTTTTTTTTCTGGGTTTGTGTGCCGCATTTCATAGAGAAATCTGTGCATGCCCATGCAAGTCCGATTGCACAGATGCAGCAAGGAGTCGTGCAAGCAAGAGCAAATGGAATCAAAGGAAACCGAGCTGCACCCAAAGACAACTCTCGCGCTTCGCATTGTTATTGGCGTTAATTTTTGCTGTCATTCGGTTACAGTTACCGTTACCGCTGCTGCTTGAACCAAAAGCAATTTCCTGAGAGAGCGCACGTTGCGCTCAAAATATTTGATGTCGTCGTCATCGTCGCGGGTCGTTGTCGTCGGCGTCGGCGTCGGCATCGGCGTTAGCTGGCATCGTCTTTACCCATTCCGGGACGCGATTCGCTCGATTCGCCTCGATTTTTTAATAGATAGATACACATCGCCGCCCACCATCCAGAAAGCGAGCCAGCCACCAGCCGCCAGCCGCCAGCCGACCAAAGCAACCACTTTGATGCCAGCGATTAACCCCCAAAAAGTGTAAACTTTTAATGGACACACACATACGCACACGCACACGCACACGCACACGTACATGAGTCCACACATACAGAGAGCGCAATACATTCTTACAGCAGCCACAAAGATTCCTATATTTTCAATGAGAAAACTTTTTAGACTTCGAATCAAAACAATTGCAACAAAGCCGAATAACAAAAGAGCTTAACAAGAAACGAGACAACGGTAGAGGAAAATTTGAGAGGGAAAAGGCACAAAGGCCATCGAAGGAAAGCAAATGCAATAACTGAGTTGTACCTTAGCGCCTCACTTGTAGCTCAGCAATTACCTTTGAACTATGACTACTTGACTTTGAAGATATTTCAAATTGTAATACAAATATAACCGAAATATTATTACTTACTTGCAGCTATTATTATATTCTATTTATTAAATTATTAAATCAGAATAAACACCATTAATACAAATTACGTTCTATGATAAGCCCAAGGCGCGAAATCCCACTAATCAAGAGCGCAAAAATAAAAACAAAAACAAGAGAGCGAGCACTTTGACTCAAAGAGAGAGGGAGAGTGAGAGAGAGAGCGAGAGCAGCCTTGGTTTTCTGATTGCGCTCTCTCATAAAAAGTTTCTAGACGACTTCAAGCTGATAAGCCAAATGCTGAAGTACGTTCGCATAAAAAAAACTGTTCTATTTTTATAATTCAATGCAAGCCAAAATCGACATAGCCTAATAAGCAAATGCTTGACTTATTATGAGCAGTAATAAAAATTATAATTTGCATCGTTATCAATAAAAAATATTAACATATTCTTATGAATATGATGATATTGTATTTTTTAGCGCATAAATAAATATTTAGATTAGTATCATTATCAGTCTGTGTGATGAAATCATAGGAATATTAAAAACTTGTGATTAATGCCTGTTAAATGCTGCACGTTATCTATCTGATGACTAAGCTATGTCAGTGATAACCATTACAGTCTTAGGTAAATTATTTCACATGAAATTTTGAAGAACGCAATGAGGATTAAATGAAATTATTAAATTAAAAATATAAATAAATAAAATGTTAGTTCCATATAGTCGCTTGATATAATTAGAGATGAAAAGTTCCATTTATGGACAACTTACGATTAGCAAGTGATATTATCCATACTAATGAACAGATGAAATTATGTATTATTGCCAGGTGAAAACTCTTAGCCATAAAATGTTTTCCATCAAAATTCTATTCACAATTCTCGTAGATCGAAAAATATATAAAAAATGGTGTTGTATAAATATAAAATACAAATTATATGAACACCAATGAATAGATACAGTTATAAAATGTTATTCACAATTACTATTCCCTATTCAAGTTGCTTTAAATGTGTTGTTTGTATACAATGCTATAAAACAAATTGAGGCACTAACAAAAACAATTATTTTCGTTTATCTTTCAATCGATAAATGTCCATAACGCGCTTATCAGATAGCACAAGACTCTAAACGTTTTGTTCCACGTCCTTGAATAGCTCTATGAACATATAAATAAATACAAATATATGAAAATGATGTGACCAAAACTTTTGTTTATATACCAATAACAAATTGATTATGAACAATGATCTGTCAGTTGCTAATAGACAATGTGTCTAATAGCGCGGAAAATCGATTTAGAATTTTAAGCACTTGTAATGAGCTTTAGACACGCTTCGACAACGAAAAACCCCCACATAGTCGCAGCAGTCAAATAAACTAATTTAACTGTAGCAAATCAATGACAATATTTGAATATTTTAATCCGCTTATATTTGCCTGTAATATACAGATTTACAGCAACAACAAGTGTGAGCGCTTTCATCGAGAGTGACCAACTTGCAGATACCCTGGCTGTATTTAGGGTGACTCAATAGGAAACTTAATAAAAAGTAATACCTATTGCCTAGATGCCTGTAGTGCACACAGATTAACAGAGCAAATCCTGTTCAGAAAGGACTACCAAGTCATGCATGATCAAGAATATATATATTCTACAGGGTATCTTTTCTATAGTTGCTGCTAATTTAAAACCTTGAAAGAGAATATTATAAATTCACAACAAATAAAATCAATGTACCTTGCAACCCATTGGCACCTGGGTGACATGGCTAGACCTGGCTATAGCTGCAGCTGTTGCATCGCGTGCCAACAATTTATTAACGCTTTTATTTCATCTATTTACATCTATTGCTTAAATAAATGATGAGCTTGCGCCAAGTGCAAGGTATGAACCCTTAAGCTCTTAAAAATGCATACAATTCGCGTCGCAGTTTATGTGTTTTTATTATTATTTATAATTTATGCAATTTCGGTGGCGTATTAGCGCAGTCTGTTGCCTTGTTTGTTGTTGCTGTTGTTGTTTTTGTGTGGTTGCAAGCAGGCAAACAGAGCGCGTTTTATTCATTCAATTTGCTGGCACGTTTTGCATTACACGCGACAACCCTGACCTACAAAATCCAAACATAACAACAACAAAACCAACTCGACTGCCTGCCCCTAGTTGTTACTGTTGTTGTTCTTGTTGTTATTATTATTATCATCATTGTTGTTGTTGTTTCTGTAGCTACTTTGCATTGAGAACGGTTTGTGAGCTGGGCGCTGGCGCTTAGTCGCGTGAACATTGAATTTTATAAATAAATTAACAGGTTAATGCATTTCGCCGGGCATGTGGGCGTTACCATATTAATCAAGGTAGCTTGTTTTATACAATAGTTATTATTAAGCAAGTGTAAAGCAATGAGCATGCCATATTTATAAACTTATAAAAAACATGAAATGAAAAAGTATTTCAGATGATATCTAACTGGCGAAATGACAATCGCGTGGTCAATAAAGTCCCATATTTACAAATGTAATCATTTATTGTAAGAGCTTTCACTATATAAGTCAAATATGTATTATAACACATAATTATAAAAAAAAAATCTTTACAAAATTTTACTTTATTCAACTATTTATTTGCATGTTGAGCTCAGTTAATTGCAATTTACTCGCACATTGTTTACATTGCTTAACATAATTACAGCTATAATTGGTCATAATGGCACGTGGCTAAGTTGTCTTATGAGTTGACCCTATACCGGCTAAATTCCAACAGACAAGTGAAAATTGAAGCCAACAGCTAAATGCGCGTCGAAAACGGATGTTCATGCAGCACGACAACAAAAAGATACAAATGTATCTCAACAGCAGCATGAGTGTTTTTTAGCTCATGTTATTTTATTTCTTTTTCATTTTTTCTCTCTTCTTTCGCGTTGCTTTCTCAGGCTTTTGGGTCACATTTACATTTACAAAATGTTGCAACGATCGCGAAACTTTCTCTTTTTTTTTTTTTTTTTTTTTTGGAAGGGTTTTTTTTATTTATCATATCATATCATCGCATCGAAACAAAGGCGACGCTAAAATCATCTAAATAAATTCATATTGCCAAAACGAACGCGCGTCATTCCGATCAGCGTTTGTGTCTCTCAACGGAAAATTTGTTACCTCAAAAGGTAGACATAGAAATTCACCATTCACCACAACGAACACAAACAAACAGAAGAAGAAACAGAAAGGGGGAATGAAAGATTCACTGCTCGGTCGGTTAGTACATTTGGCTTTGTATCCCAACAGTTTTGGCGTTTTGTTGCTATTGCTTGTTTTCACAGTTGTTGCTGCCTCTGTTGTTTGCTGCTGCTACAGCAACACCAACACCAGCAGCAGCAGCAACAACGTGCAGCAAGATTGACAGCTCAGAGCAGCTGCGCTGCGCAGCATTTTCAGAGCAGCGAGAGCAATTTATTTTTAGCAGCAGCAACAGCGAGAGCAGCACAACGAGAGACCTCTCCAAAAGACACAGAGAGACACAACGATAACGACAAAGAGAGAGGATAAGAATGAGAGCGAGAGCGAGAGTATGCGCGCAAAGTGCACGTATGCAGGCCGCYTGATGCTGAGTAAATGAAATGAAATGCTAATTACAATAGGTAAGGGCAATTTCTTTTTTTTTATTCTCACCTGGTCGATCCAATGACTGTCTGCGACTCATTGGCAAAAATTTATGCGCCTTGTTTTATGCTTCGGGATACAGACAATTGCGGTTTAAAAATGAACAAAATTTAATTGATTCATTTGTGTTGATGTTGGTTGTCTTGTTGTTGTTGTTGCACGGTTGTTGATATTGCTTTAGACTTTATTAACTTATACAGCTTATTTAATTCTATACACTGAAAACACACTCGCACGCACACAGAGACATATACAAATTCACATTTTATTGCATCGACTGTTGAACATACTTTCTTTTCATATAGCATTTGCGCGCAACAAGAAACGTGGGCTGAACTGATGTAAATATATGAAACGTTGTTTTATTTATGTATGTATTTATGTATGCAGCTTGGCGCAGCGGTTGGACGCCAGCGGCATAAGCGACTGTAATTGCTGTGTGCTGTTTTGATTATTATTATTATTATTATTGTTGTAGCTGCTGGTTGCTTTTGCTTTTGCTATGTATTTTATTTGTTTGAAAACAACACGGAACACATGAACACACGAGACATATAAACACACTCATTTACGTACACACACATACACACACACTCACACTCGCGCGTCACGTCAATGAACGCAGCAGCTCGTTGTTGTTGTTGGTTTTGATGTCGTCGTCACCGTAGGAATCACGAAATAACGCTTTTTACGCATATTTCTCAATGAATTTATTCACTTGTGCATGTAACAGTTGTTTATTTACATTTGTGCACTATTTTTGGAAATTTAATACACCGATATTTTGCATTTCTTTTTTCAATTTTATTTGTTACGCACGCACGAGCGTCTATACGAGCCATATGACGAGACCCGCCGACGAACAAAGGGAAAATGCTGAATGTGAAAAATGTCAAACATTTGAGAGCGAGCAGACTTTGGGTCTGCGACGTGTAAGTCGCGTGCGAGTAAGCGGGATAGCTAGATGTGTGTTTTGTTAAACACTATTGTCGTCTCACTCGCGCGCCCTTTTTTGTAGTAGAGAAGAAAAACACCAAAACGAAACGAGAGATTTACGAAATTCACAAAACATGCCACCAATATTTTGTTGCTTATATACAATTGTTATGCCGCTGATTTTCTTCATTGCACTTTGTTTTCAGCATTTGCTGGCTTATAATTATTTTGCCTTAGCGGTAATATTAACAATCTCGTTGCAAAGATTTCCCGCACTTTTCCATACACGCAGTGCAGCACTTGGCACTTAATCTACGCTTTTTATCTGTGTGCGTGAAAGCATTTTGCAGCTGCTCCATATGACATTCACAACGAGACGTTGCCAGACTGCCGAAATGATGTCATGCAGTGTTTGACCATTTCGATATATAACTATTTGTTATTGCATATTTACCACAAATTATTCGATATGACTAGTTTGTATAATATAAAACGATGTATTGAGAATATAGTTCATACCTATACATATTTCTATCATTTATACGATTAAAAAATTATGTTGAATAACAGCTGTGCAGAGTTATCGTTATGTTATAGATCTGTCATCAACTGTTATCGCACTTTCACAAAAACAAATCGATTTAGAGGTACTATCGGCCGCGTATAGGCGGAGGAAATAGCGTTTCTTTTGATCACAATATTTTTTTTTTATTTGATTCCATAATTAAACGCAAAAAGGTGAAGTAGAGCGTAGCCACGAACAAAGGAACTGTGACCTCAAACAGAATGCTGCGGGCGATAGGCAAACGGGACAGAGACATATTTGACGAAGTATGGCCTGAGAAAAGAAAAATTGTGCTTAAGCTGCTGCGTCAGGAAACGGTATCCCAGCTCGAATGGCAGGAGCTCTTCTTTGGTGTGCACTTCGTGTGCCTATGGGACGAAAAGGGTGCTGCCAAAATATACGAAGGCCTCCAGCAAGACATTGTCGAATTTATTGTTCAGGCCCAATCCAAGGTGCAAGCGCAACGGGGCGAACAGGCGCTTTTAGCCACCTACATTGTGGAATGGCGTAAATTCTTCACACAGTCCAATTACCTGCCGCTGCCATTTCGACAGTTAGAGCAGTCGCCGCAGGTGAAGCCCGCGTCCAGTTCCAGCTCCACATCGTCGTCGGCTATCGGTGGCGGCGGAGCATCCACTTCGAATGCCGCTGCCTTGATCAGCAGTCAAGTACCCTCAAGCAGTTCCTCGGCCAAGCCCTCAACATCGTCGGCAGCAACGGGTGGTGCGTCCACCAGTGCTGGCGGCGCCAGCAATTCGGCTGGTGGATCCAGCTCCAAGAAGAGTCCCACCGAGGACAGTCCAGTTCGCAAGTTAATGTTAGACTCATGGAACAAGCATATCTTTCATGACATCAAGGATCGGCTACAGGAGTCCGCCATGAAGATTGTGCATGCCGAACGCAATGGCGATGCCTATGATGCTCAACTGGTAGTCGGAGTTCGTGAGAGCTATGTGAATCTGTCGTCGAATGCCGAGGACAAACTGGAAATTTATCGCGAGTACTTTGAAAAGGCGTATTTGAAGGCCACCGCCGATTTCTATCGGCTCAAGTCCGCCGAGCAGCAGCAGGAGAACGGTGTGCTGGCCTACATGAAGTACGCAGATGCGAAGCTGCGCGAGGAGGAAGTGCGCGCTAAGCGTTACCTAGAGCCGAGCAGCTTCAACATATTGACATGCCGCCTGGTCAAGGTGCTAATTGTGGATCATCTCAATTCGATTATAGCCGAGTGCCCAGCGCTCATACGCGACTACGAGACGGAGCGTCTGAATCTCATGTTTCGTCTGCTCGATCGTGTGATGGATGGCGAGGGGGTCGAGGCAATGATGGGTGATCTACAGCGACACATTAAATCCGCTGGCCTGGCCGACATGCAGTCCGCCTCGGAGATAATCACCCAGGACTCGGAGAAGTATGTGGAACGGCTGTTGGAGCTCTTCAACAGATTCAGCGACCTGGTGCGCAACGCCTTCAACGATGATCCGCGCTTTCTCACTGCCCGAGACATCGCCTTCAAAATGGTGGTCAACGACACCAGTGTGTTCAAAATGGAGCTGCCCACGAGCATTGCCAATCGCGGCGTCAAGTACACAGCGCCCGAGAGCAAGTGCCCCGAGCTGCTTGCCAACTACTGTGACATGCTGCTCCGTCGGACGCCGCTCAGCAAACGGCTCACCAGCGAGCAGATCGACGCACGTTTGCGGGATGTGCTGCTCGTGCTAAAGTATGTCAACAACAAGGACGTCTTTATGCGCTATCATAAGGTCCATTTGACGAGGCGGTAAGTCAAAGCAACAGATTCTTGATAATAGATGCTTAGCTATAGATAAGTGCTCCATTAATATGCCATTACTCCGATAACTTATGGGTTCATTGAACTTTTTATATTGCTACTGATAGCCAAACATTCATGAAAAACATTTAATATACAAATAACAATAATAATCAATAACAATTATCTCCTTTGCTTTAGCCTAATCCTGGGCACAAGTGCAGATAGTGAAAAGGAAGAGGATATCGTTGAGTGGCTGCGTGAAGTGGGGATGCCTGCGGATTATGTCAACCGACTGGCGCGCATGTTCCAGGACATTAAAGTAAGTAGCCCAAACACCATGCTACATGACTACTTAAACTAATCGGTATTCTAATCCACATAATAAAACTAGGTCAGCGAGGACTTAAATACTCAATTCCGTAACTCTATAAGTCGGCATGATGCCATCAATATTAAAATACTCAACGCTGGGGCGTGGGCGCGATGCTCGGAGCGCGTTTCAGTGTCGCTGCCCATCGAACTGGAAGACTATATACCTGATGTGGAGGAGTTTTACAAGAAAAAGCATTCCGGCCGTAAGCTGCAATGGTATCATCACATGAGCAATGGCACCATCACGTTCGTCAACAATTTCGGGCGCTACGATCTCGATGTCACAACATTTCAAATGGCTGTGCTCTTTGCCTGGAATCAGCGGCAACACGATAAGATCTCCTATGAGAATCTACGTCTGGCCACCGAGCTGCCCGGTTAGAAAACTTATTGGAATTGTAATTGAAAGCACAAATAACTACTCTAATTTTGTATTTATTTGAGAACAGATCCCGAGCTACGTCGCACTCTTTGGTCGCTGGTCGCCTTTCCCAAAATCAAAAAGCAAATCTTACTTATGGAACCAATTGCCATTAGTTCGCCCAAAGATTTTGCTGAGAACACAATGTTCTATATCAATCAGGAATTTGCAATTGTCAAGAATGGTAAATCCCAGCGTCGCGGCAAGGTGAGCTAAACATTTCCTAGAACACTCCGAATCACTAAAACAACTTGTGCTTGACCCACAGCTAAATCTAATTGGTCGCTTGCAATTGAGCACGGAGCGCTCGCAACAGGAGGACAATCAGTCCATTGTGCAGCTACGAATATTGCGCACCCAGGAGGCAATCATTAAGATCATGAAGGTGCGCAAACGCATGAACAATGCGGCGCTGCAGGTGAGCTCTCGACTCAATATTGAAATAAAGTAATATATACTCAATAATTGATCATCTGATTGCAGGCTGAACTGATTGATATACTGAAGAATATGTTCCTTCCGTCGAAGAAGATGATTAAGGAGCAGCTGGAATGGCTGATCGAACACAAGTATATGAGACGCGACGACGATGATATCAACATGTTTATTTATGTGGCCTAACTGTGATGGCCTTTGCGTCCTTGCCTAGTAACCATTTCCATATCCAAACCAACCCCCAAACACAGCCAACCTAATGTTTATACACACATGATCTTCAAATTTTTAATTGGTGGCAAGCTTTAAGCTTGCGCTCATTCTCTTTCTATTTATCTCATTCAATCCCCATTCTCTTAGGATGCCTATTTGTTTAGTTGACTCTGCGTCCTGGGCAGAATTTTCAAAATTGAACAAATTGCTTTTTCCTGTTTGTATTTTGTTTTGTGTAAACGCGTAACTATATTTTATATTGGCCTATTGGCTGCTTGGTTAATCGTCTTAGGTATAATATGTACTGTACGTAGTCGGCCCCTGATAATTAGTACGATGAGCGTTAATCTATAAACAGAAAAACATTGATTTTGCTGTTTTCCACATATGTGTAGCCCTTGTTTATATATTGTGCTTTATTTTGTAAAGTCTCGTTATACACGGCGAACCCGCACTCAACCACATCTAACCTCCAATACCCATGCACCCCGCACCCCGCACCCCTTCACACGATTGGTTGATTGGGTTTGACTGTAGATCAAATATAATCGATCGCTTCAAAGACACAGACACATACGAAGGCAAAACTAAAAATAGAATAGCAATATTATATGTTTAAGCTAATAAAATTATAAAGCATATAAATGGTATTTTAAATAAATTAAGTTTCAACACAAGACACTACATCTTCGGGGTAAATAAAACATATTGCATTCAAAAATGTTGGACAAAAAAAAAAAGAATTTCTTTTTCAATTCTATTAATTTAGGGCAAAATTTGTCGTGTCGGATTCAAAATTCAAAATTGAGGAATACGATTTCAATTTCTGTTCCTAATATACGATCCTTACAATCAGTAATTCCCAAAACTCCGAGAGATAACTTAGAAAACGAATCCATTTTTCAAAGTGAATTTCCAGATAATAAACAATTATTGAAGCAGACTCAATGTCTGCTGATTGACAGCTCTCTGGGAACCCCTTCTGAAACATGTAAATTTCGTAATATTTTGCATTTTATTGTTGCCATATATTTAGATCAATATAGCTTAAAACTTGATTCGCAAACCTTATAAAAACAAAAAGTAGTATTCAATTTCATTTACAGCGAATTTGTACAAAAAAAGTTTTTATTTTTGATGAACGTAAAAAGACGAAACGAGACTAAATGCATGCAATATTTAACAAATGAAAGAGCGAAATATAAATAGATATAAAATGACAAATTTACATAGACTCCTGCACTTGCAATCGCGACACTTAAAACTAAATTGGACCAAGGACTGCACGACTACATGACAGACAAAATAAAATACTTGATTTGCTTTTTAAAAAATGTAAAACCTACCTAGACGAATACCTAATGCGAGTGGCACTACGAGCTATGAACCGATACAACTCTAGATCTATATATACCATATATATATAGCTAACCTTAAATACTTTGCTTATGCTTAGTTAACAGCTACTGGACTATGCTCGAATACTATTGAAGCGACTGCGTCTATCTGCGCTTGCGGCCCTTCTTGTAGCCCTTGCCATACCAGCCGGCCTGGGTGCGGGCCAGCTTGCGTGGGAAGCTGTGGCTCAGTTGCAGCCGGCGCTTGGCCGTCTCGGCGGCGGCTATGTGCGCCAGCGATATATTCTCGTCGTAGTCGTCGTCATCGTCGCTGGTCGGACAGCACTCGCAGACGACAAAGCGGCCGCTGCGCGCTCGCTTCTTGTGCTTGCGCTGGTTGAGATGCCAGCGGCGATAGAACTGGCACTCCAGCTCCGCATACCGATCGAAGCAGAACTCACAGCTGGCGGCAGAGCGATTCATGGCGAAATTGGGCACCACTTGCGAGTTCCAAATGTTGAGATCTGATGGGGGCGGTATCAAAATGCTGTGCAGGCCCGAGTAGGCATATTTCGCATCGTACCAGCTGGGCAGTTGACGCAGGAGCTCGTTATCGCTGTGGCATCGCAGCAAATCCATTTGTGCCATGGCAAACTGCTCGTTCTCCTCTTCCTTCTCCTGCTCCTCCTCATCCTCCTCCACTTCTCTGTCGTCCTCGTCCCCGTCATCGTCGTTCTCCGTTGTCGACTCGGCGGAACAGGTGGCGCTATCACTCTGCAAGTTGAGCGTCTGCAGCGACGGCGGCAACACGAGCTGCGTCTGCATCAGGGGCTGCACGAAAGGCGTGTATAGCGGTGCACCAATTGGCACCAACGGCGGCAGCTGCACTGGTGGTAAGCTGGGCTCCAGCCGCAGCTCTACGGGCAACAGACACATTCCCGGATAGATGTTCACGTCCGTGTACGGCTTCTGTATGGCGACTAGTTTGGGCAGCTCCATGAGACCGTTCTTGTGCTGATGGCCATTTTTGGCTTCACTGGGCACCTCCACTTCGGGCTTCGGCTCCACTTTGGGCTCCACTTCCGCTTTGATGTTCGTGATTTCCACATTAGCTTCAACCAACGCCTCCTCGACTTTCGTCTCTTGCTTCAGTTCGCAGAGCGTCAACGCTTCCGTCTCCGTTTCCGTTTCAGTCTTCACTTTGATATCCAGCTCCGATTCGGTTTTCAGCTGCAGTCCATTTGTCGGCTTGGTCTCGTCGGCACTATCGTTTGGCGGTGGTGCATACTTTTGCCGCATCTCCAGATTGGTCTTAACACGCCGTCCATTTTTGATAGGCGTCCGTATGCGCGGACCCCTGCCAATGGGCAGTTCGCTGTAGCTATCGCCGGAAATAGTCGAGTCCTGCGTCTCCTCGGTGGTGGTTGTACAGGATTGTGTATCGCCCGCCTCCTCCTCGTCGGCATTCTTGAGCAACGGCTGTGTCAGGGTGTGCAGCTCTTCGGGCATCAGAAGCGTTGCATGCGCGAATATGGGATCCTTCTCCTTGCTGTAGACGGGCACCGTTATGTTCAGCAGACGCATCAGCTGCGCCATGACGTTGTCGCACTTGCCATTGATCTTGATGCTGGCTATGCTGTCCTTGGGCGTCCACTGCAGATTCACCACACATATCTTGGCGCGCTGCCGCTGCGGCTTGTCCATCTGCCAGAGCCAGGTGTATTTCTTCAGCACCTTCAGACTAGAGCCCAAACAGAGTATCACGTCCGCCCGCTCCGCGTGATGCGTGGCTCCGTCCCAGTTCAGCGGCCACTTCACATTGCCGCGCTCGCCAAAGTGCACGATGGTATCGTAGAGCGGCTCCGAGCACCTGTGGCACAGCCGATGTGTCTTATGGCAGTAGCGGGCCGTCATCTCTGTCACATCGAACTGGCGCCAGTAGATCGCGTTCGGCTTGCAGTGCTTGCACACCTCTACATACATGTTGCCATGTATCTCGGAGAGCGACTGGCGCGGCAGGCCGGAGCGCAGGTGCAGACCGTCGCAATTCTGCGACACGACGTGCTGCAGCAGACGACGTCGATGCAGTTCGTAGAGCGCCATGTGAGTGAAGGTGGGATTGGCGCTGGAAAGATCGTGTTCTCCAATGTCTTTGCCCTTCTGCAGCAACGTCCAGATGCCCTTGCTGCCGCGGTAGTCGGGTATCAGAGCAGCAGTGCTAATGCCGGCGCCTGTGTAACAGATTAAATGCTTTGCCTGCGATATGATATTGGCCAGCTGCTCGACCTTTGCCTCAATAACGTGCGGCTCGTCCTCCTTCTCGACGATACGCTCCTTGTATATCTCTATGCGCTCCTTCCGTTTTTTCGTCGCTTTCACAATATCCGGATGCTTGTCCAGAAACTGACGATCCTCGTTGGTGCGCAGCGAGTCGCATTTGCGTAAAATTAGCGAAACCTACACAAAATTCATATATTAATATTAATGCCGGATCAATAATGCAATAAAATCAAGCAAACAGTACGTACAAAGCACACTATCACAAATACATATACGCTAGTCACAAGTAACGAGTGTGAGTGTTTACGCACACATACACACACACTTCTGCACATGTTCGTTAATTACCTTTCGCATCGCATCCTTTCGTCGCCGTTTCTCATTATCTTTTTTCGCCGGATTCACTTTGGCTCGCGTCTTATATGACTGAGTGGAATCAGACGTGATTGGCTGCAGTTCGTCCGGCTCCATGTTTGTGCTTAAACTATTAGATTTTGGACTCAACTCGACATACATGTGTATGAATGTGCGTCGCAAACGCACTTTAAAAAGGGAAAGGAATTGACGCGCAGCGCAGTTGCAGCACTTTGACGGCTAGCAGCACATTAACTTTTTGCTATAATACTTGATTATTTACATTTTATTTGTTGCACTTTTTTTTGATTCCTTGGCGCGTGCTATTTTTGTTGTCTTACCACAACTTTAACAAATGTACTTTTTTTCTTTTTTTTTTTGTAAACAACAATAGTGATGGGCGATATATTTATGTATTCTATTCATAGATATTTTAAAGTATTCAGTAACGAGTACAGTACTTTTAAGATACTGTGATCGAAAATAATTATTATAATCTGCATATACATTTCTTTTATTATATTTGTTAATTTTAGCAGGTTTTATATTAAAATAAATGTAGTTAGTCAAATACACCGTGTTAAAATTAGTTAATTCACTGTTCTTTCCAAGTTGCCGAACCTTGCCAGATCGTCAAAAAATAACCATTCAAATTTAAAATATTCTGTGGTTAATTACTGTTTATAATTATTGTGAATATACTAAAAGTTTGCCATAATATGTGTAATCCAATCCAAATAGTAGTACACGCGCGTATAAATACTGGGAATTCTCGGTGTACCGCAGGCAATACCCGCTGACGTAATGCCCATCACATGGTACATACACGGATACTCCTTGTGGTAAACAAGAATAGGTCCACCGGAATCTCCACTACAAGTATCCATTGCTCTCGAAGAGCCCACGCACATTTGTGTGGCCGGCTCGAATCCTCGTGGATAGTCATCGCTTTTTCCAATAACGCGGCGACATACCTTGTACATATATTAAAATGTATAATTAACGTATAATTAAAGTGGGGAATATTGTATTAAATCTTACATCATCTGCAATATAATTGAGCTTGACCTTCAGCAGCTTTGCCGAAGATTTGCTTGCGAAGTTAGTGCTGCCCCAGCCGACGGCTATAAACGAAGGCATATTTTGGCCACTCTCGAAGGGCAGGCACGCCGGATGTTTGTATCGATCGAATTGAACGCGTTCGGCCAGCTTAACCATGCCAATGTCATTATAGAGCGCTGGACTGATAAACTGCGGATGTCGGTAGTAATTGGCCACAGCATAGTTTCTGGGCGATGCGTCCTCTTGGTCATTCTCGAAATCCAAGTCACCCAAACGAACCACGTTCAGCTCTCCCCTAAACAAATTTCATGCGCTTAGAGTCACGTGCACGTTGTTGACTCAATTACTCACTGTTCTGACTCAAAGCAATGGGCGGCAGTCAGTACGAATCTGTCGCTAATCAGCGTGCCGCCGCAGAACCATTCGATCTTTGCCCGCTCCCACTCGCTGCGGTGTCCAAGCCGTGCCACATGCGGAAACTCCTTGGGATCGGCAGGCTGACCGCCCACAATCAGGGGCGTGTAGCTGAGACAATTGTCAATCGTCTCGTACATGACGGGCGCATTGGGGAAGAGAAAACTGTAACCAATCTGCTCCTCGAAGACGGACTTCTTGTAGCTAGTACAGGCTATCGATGGGAGAGACTCTGGGATGAATGCGCTCTGTGCAGATTTGTAATTTGACTTACTTCTGACAATGTCGTTTATTTGCCCGAAAATCAGGTGAATTGGCAGCAGTGCCAAAAGAAGATGCGCCCACCTGAGCCACATTCTCGAGTTCAATTTGTTTATCAAATACACAATGCGCACGTTGTTGACCGGTTTGACGACAACAAACGCCTCGAGCTTGGCAAAGCCCTCAACAGCCGCTTGTGCTCTCTCTCTCTCTCTCTCTCTCTCTCTCTTGGTCGCGCTGGACTGGTTTACAGTTGACTAGCACCCGCGCAGTCGGCTGAACTCGGACTGATCAGAGATCAGCTGTTTCAGCTGTAGTCTACACTCAAGAGTGAGGCAGAGGCAGCAGCATCAGCAGATACTTATAGAGTATGATTGACAGCAAGCTCGTTTTTTTTTAATTATTGACTAAAGACTGCAGTTTGCACATTAATTATTCAAATTATTAATTAATAAGGTTCTCAGAAATCCCGGCTCTCTCATGAAATATTCGCCATCTCCTGCTTGATCCAATCCAAGTAACTATGCACCCGCGTATACAGACTCGGCACATTGGGTGTGCCGCAGCCAATGCCCAACGAGGTGATGCCCATGACATGGTACATGCACGGATATTCCTCATGATAGACCAACAGCGGACCGCCCGAGTCACCGTTGCACGTGTCCTTGGAGCGAGCGGAACCAACGCATAATTGTGTCGTCGCATTGTAGCCGCTGGGCAGCTCCTCGACATCGTCGGCCGCCAGGCAGTTGTTGCGGAAGCCATTGAGCTTCACTTTTCTCAGCTTGCTCGAGGGCTCACCGGCAAATGTGGTCTGACCCCAGCCGGCGGCAATGAAGCTCTCATAGCGATCGCCATCATTGAAGGGCAGGCAAGCGGGATGCTTGTAAACACTGAAACGCACACCACGATCCAGTTCGACCAGCGCTATGTCATTGTACAGCACTGGGTACTTGAAGTCGGGATGCTCTGTGGTGTTCCGCACGCCAAAGTCCTCGGGCTGCGCATCATCCTGCTCGCTATCAAAGTCCAGCTCACCCAGGCGCACCACATTGATAGCGCCGCTGCAATGGAATTGGATAGATGAATTGATGAAGCAGCCCATCGAACCAGCTGAGCACCCGCTCACCTTTCCGAATAGAGACAATGGGCTGCAGTGAGCACCAACCGATTGCTTATCAAGGTGCCGCCACAGAACCAATTGGTAACATTGTTGTCATCGCGATTGCCCAAGCGCGCCATATGAGGAAATTCCTTGGGATCGGCAGGTGTTCCGTCGACTATCAGCGGCGTGTAGCTGTGGCACGTGTCCAAGGTCTTATAGGAGATCGGCGCATTTGGGAACAGAAAACTGTAGCCATCCTGCTGGTCAAAGACGCTCTTCTTGTACAGAGAACAAGCTGTCCCAGAGTAAGCAAGAGAGAGAGGGAGAGAGAGACGCTCGTCAAATACTAGATATGCTACGAGTATAGTTTTCTATAGACTTACAGCTGACTATCTCTGCATCTTGAGCAGCTATCAGTCGCTCCGAAAAGTTGCAGCTGAGCAGCAGTAGCATCAACAGGCATATTGGACTCCATGGAATGACGCTATTTAAACAATTTGAAATCCCCATCATTAACGCCCAGCCGCTAATCACAACCGACGTCGAGCTGGGCGCACAAACAACTGCGAGTCGAATGTGAAGCGCTGAGCGCTCGGAACTGAGATAATCTTAGATGTGTATGTATTTGTGTATAAATCAATATGTGAGTACAGATTTGATGATAAGATGAGAATCTTGTTTCCAGCATTGTTTATACAAATATTTATTGTATGTTTGTATGTATGTATGTGATCTGTGCCTACATGACATACGTAGTTTCTTTTCCTGCTTATTGGCAACTTAATGCATGCAATATATATAACATATAAAATATATAACTATATAAAGTATAATTTCTTGAAGAAGATGCTCTACTATTTAACTGCTCTTGGCCATCTCCTGCCTAATCCAGTCCAAGTAGTAGTGCACCCGCGTATAGATGCTGGGCATGTTTGGGGTCTCACAGCCAATGCCGGATGATGTGATGCCCATGACGTGATACATGCATGGATAGTCGTCATGGTAGTTCAATACCGGACCGCCAGAGTCGCCGTTGCAGGTGTCCTTCAGCTCGGCTGAGCCAATGCACAGCATGGTGCTCACATTGTACCCATTGGGCAGTTCGTCCAGATCCGTGGTGGTCAGACATCTAGTGCCAAAATTCGTAAGCTTCACTTTCAGCAGTTTGGTCGATTCGCGGCCCGCGAATCGCTTGTGACCCCAACCAATGGCAATGAAATTTTCACTGCGATCGCCATCAACGAAGGGCAGGCAGGCCGGATGTTTGTAAACACTGAACTTCACAGCTCGATCCAGCTGCAGCAGGGCAATATCATGGTAAAGCATCGGATATTTATAGCCCGGATACTCAATTATCTTCTGCACGGCAAAGTCCTCTGGTTCTGCATCATCCAGGTCGCTGGCGAAGTCCAATTCACCCAACCGCACCACATTTACTGCGCCGCTGCAATGGCAACCACATATTATTATTAAAATTATTATTTCTATTTCATTTAGCTCGCATTGCTCACTTCTCCGAGTCGAGGCAATGCGCTGCCGTTAGTACTAGGAGATGGCTTATCAAGGTGCCGCCGCAGAACCAATTGGTATTGTTTTTCTCATTGCGATTGCCAAGACGCGCCATTGGGGGAAATTCCTTGGGCTCGGCGGGTGTTCCACCGACTATCAGCGGTCGTGATCCATGGCACGAATCAATAATTTCCCAGCGAACGGGGGCATTAGCGAAGAAGAAACTAATCGCAACTCGTTCCTCGAATACGTCGCGCTTAACCTGAGTGCAAGCTGCAGATGATAATTAGTGATTAGATTCATGCGTTAATAATGTAAGTTTTCAATATTTACTCTGTTTCGCCAATGCATCCGGATCTTGGCACAATACGAACGCTACCTGTAGCGTAGCGAACAGCAGTAAACGAGCTACGCTCACCTGCGGCATTGCGGAGCTCTGAACTGGATTTCAAAGAGGTTCGCGCCCGACTGATCGATACGAATCGACTAACTTGATTAACAAGCTAAAAATTAAGCCGGCATCAAAAACATCTCTCTCTCTCTGTCTCTCTCTCAATCTCCTCACGTATTGTCGAAAAAACTGTATTTACAATCCATTAGGCATAAGCTTACAAAATGATCTTACATTTGGGTACTAACATTTTACTGTATGCGAACATACATTAATTAAATTAAACAAGAATTCTTAAGATAATTAAGCAAAGTTTAATTCACATTGCTTTAGTTAAAGTGTATGCCAGCCGAATTGAATGCCAGCAATAGGCGCATAAACTCATCGATGTCCATAGAACGCGCGCGGGACCCACTAACGCCCAGTTCCTCCAGTATGCCCATGACCTTCTCCTGCATATTAAAATTTTCTTCAATTGGCTAAAATGGCGAAAGGTATGAAATATAAGTACATCAATCAGTTATATGGCAAATTTCCGTAAATACCTCATTCCTCAATGATCGATATAATTTGTAATTCTTTTCGAGCATTTCCATCACAGAGTTCACTTTGAATGTAGCCGCCAGAGTTTTGTTTTTGCGCAGGAAAGCAATGCGAGTTAGGCCATCCCATTCGGTAAAGTTGATAGGCGGTGGGGGATTCTTCGGTTCCAGACGCACCACGCTCGACTCGACCTTGGGTGGCGGTTTGAAATTGTTTTTGCCGACTTTCATTAGCATGTCCACTCGGGCCAATAGCTGTGTATTTATGCTCAACCGGCAGTAGAGCTTGTCACCTGGCTTCGCAACTAGGCGCTGTGCGAATTCACGCTGGAACATTAACACAGCACAGCGAAAAAGTGGGCGATGCAGCAATAGCTTGAAGATCAGTGGCGAACTGATCTGGTAGGGCACATTAGCAATGCACAGGTCAAAGAAGGGTAGGTCTGCTTTCAGAAAATCTCCGATAAGCACCTGTAGTTTTGGCTGCATAGGTGTGCCCTGGACACGTTTCTGCAGCTCGGCGGCCAAACGTGTGTCAATTTCGCAGGCAATTACCTTTTTGGCGCGCTCCAGCATACGCACAGTCATGTTGCCTGTGCCAGGACCGATTTCCAGTACAACATCGGTCGCTCGCAGGGCCGCTTTCTCCAACATAGTCGTTATAACCAACGGATTTTTTAATATATGCTGACCAAAATCCTTATTAAACACAATGCCTACAAAGCAGTTGGCAATATAATTATTACGAAATTTATTGCATATAAATTGAATTACCTTGCTTTTGCACCTCATTATGTATGCGAGTTTTCTTCTCTGTTTTTACTTTTGGCATGTTTAATTTGTAAATTAACTGAAAATACTCAGTCCCTGTTGCTGCGGCGCAAATTTGTTTTGCTTCGTCTGCTTTGCTCGTTATATTTGGGTGCCATGTGCACAGCTCAGAGTTGCATTTGTGCCCGGTGTTACCAGATCGCTCGCCGTTTGGCGCCAAACGGTCTTTTTCAAACCATTAGAAGGAAATAATTGACTCAGTTGATACATTTTTATAGGTGTTACCTCTTTATTTATTAATTAGTTTCCATTTTCATTAAATCTTCTCTTAAAATTATAAATCAATTTTTAGTAATTTTGTGTTCTTTGGTTATTTTTCCGCGCCTCATTTTACATTTTGTCACCATTTATTTAGTTACTTGAATAACAACTCACTGTCTTCTCTTAGTTCAATTCTTTTTACAACATATCAAAGTTGGTTTTTGACTTTTCTTTGTAGCTTATTTATTCATTTATTTAAACATAACTTAAAGATTATTTTTGTCTCAATATAATTTTGTGGGATTTCATTTAAATAGTTTCTCCATTTGTTTAATATTCTTTTAATGAGTAGTTTCTATTTTCCAATTTGTGTTTGTCTTAGGTCAGTAGCGATTTAAGATTGTTTTTATATTTGTTATTCTCTCTTTTAATTTATATGTTGTCTATGTATAGAATCTAAATTGCAGAAGGTACATGAAAAGGTGTATCCGTCAGCATGGCATTTGACTGGTTATGCTTGTTATATGTAATTACTAACCATATGCTTGCTATATGGTCAGTAATGTAACTAAATCGACATTACAAAACGTGTCTCACTTCAGTTTCTAGAAGTTGTTAGTCAAGCGATTTTAGTGAACATTTATCAATGAGAGAGAGAGAGAGTTACAGTGACAACATAAGTTTAATCATGCTCTGCAGTATTCTTTCTCTGGCAAGAAACAATAAAAGTTCTTGTACTGCTTGCTTGCTGATAGTCAACTACTCATCCAATTCATTACGTGGGTCAGCACAATTTATTAGTTTTGATAGGTCTAGATTTGTTCGAGTTAATACAGTAGTTAGCCAAACAAAACAAAGAAAAGAATCAACAAAAAGGCGTTACAATTTAAACTTTTGTTCCTTCAAACTTTGCTCTACACCGGGCCGTGTTGATTATTTTTTAATGAGCTTACAGCTAAAATTCTGTTTTACAACTTCTGTTCTGTTTACGTTTTTCATTTAGTTTTTATTCAGGTTACGCGTTACATTTTTGTTTTCCTTTGTGTTTGTGTGTGTTTTTAAGTTTATTATTTATTATTTTCTTTGTTCTTCACAATGCGCTTCAGCTGCTTCCATTTCAAGTTCGGTAACAACCCACAGTTCTTACTTTTGTATTTTATTTGCTTTTCCCTCCGACCGAGGCCTCTTCATAGGTATAAACTAGTTTTTGTTATGGCTGGAACCGTATGTGTAAATTTGTGATAATTTGCATTATTTTTTTACAACTGCATCTTCGAACTAGTATGTCGCATTCTTTTCTTTTTTGTTTGTTTTTGCTTTTGTATAAATTGGTTTACATATGGTTTACATTTGTCCTTCTTCTTCATTTTAGTTTAGTAAAATGCGGTTTTGAGAATACTTGAGGTTAACATTTAAATGGGTATTAGAGCCTTACGCTCTGCTTGCTATTTCATAAATATATTATTTTAATTATACACTTGGGCTTGTTATCTCATTACATACAAAGTTTCATTTTGTTTTCTGTTTAGTTAACAATGTTTCTTACAATTAGTAATTTTTGCTATATACTGCCATTTGTTGCATACAAATTTATCAAACTTAGTAATCGGCAAACAATTTGCTCTCCTGTAAATGCAGTACAAGATTCATTAAAAATTCAATTATTTAGATGCTCTCAAATCAACAAAAAACTAAAACTAGATTTTTTAAAATGTATATATATATATAAAGTA